AAATGAGGCAGCCTCAGCCTTTAGGAGCTACTTCACGAATTGACCTGTCCCATTCCCATCATCCGCTGAGGGCTTGGGATTTGCTCACGTTTTATGACAATGCATCAGGGAGAGCTGGTCTTCTAGCACTCAGTTGAGAGATGAGGAGTATCCCTAATATATACAGGTAAAGAGAAGAACAATTGGTTAGAACAGTGGCTCAGTGGAAGAAGTTATTCTGTTGCAACTGAAGCCTAGTCTCCCCAAAAGGGAAGGAAGGCTGAATTTGCTGCATCCCTTTACAAGCAGCTCTGCACATCAGGCTGCAGCCACTACTTGACCGACACAGAGATTTAGGAAACATTGTGAGTGATGAGTCACATCCCTGTAGGAGCCTCCCTCAGCCCCAGCGTGGGCATGGGGCAGCTGGCATCTCCTCTAGACAGATGTACAGTCATACCCATCACATGAATAAACTGTAGTTCTCCAAGGCTCATAACTCAGCCACATCAGTCCCGGTTGTCACAGAAGTGCCCAGCTGCTCCCATCAAGGAGACCCGTTCTCCTCCCAGGATACATTTGCCTACCTCCAGCCGCTTTGTCTGTGCAGATGTTAAAACTAAAGTTGCAATGACTCTTTGCTGCAGGAAAAATACGATTTTTGCACACGCACATTGCACACTGAGCAGGCCAGGTCAGCACACAATCCCTCACACGTCCTCCCCTCAGCTATCTCACCCCCACCCATACAAAAAAAAGCATAATGAAGAAGTGAGAGGCTTTTGTCTAGAAAGAGGCCAAGGTCTGAAATCAACCCTCTGAAAGGCAAACACAGAAAGCCTCTTTAATCATCAAGAGATCTGGACACCTCTTTAATTACCCAGGCTGAACCCCCCAGCAGCCTTTCTCCTTGTCTGAGCTCTCAGGCAGGTTTGGGGGAGCCAAATGCCCTGTTGAACCTCGGTCCCAGGTACCCTTGGAGGTCACCTGCCAAGACAGAGCAGCCTCATCCCCTGCCAGAAAACTTACTTTTCTGTCACTTGTTTTTTATGAACTTCCATGAGCTGCCAAAAACCAGATTTTCTTACACAAAGAGTCAACTAAGACAGCAGGAAGACAAGGAAAATGCCCATCCTCCCCACCTCCCTTTCTCATTTATCACTAAGTTAATGAGAAGCATTTGCAAAGGACACAGGCAGTCCAGCCCACACTGCACACTGTGTTTCCTACTCCGACTCTCCTGCCTACAGGTAAGCAGCATCACCAAGGACTGGCTTTGTGACAAGAGGCACCCACTACAGCTAGAGCTGCAAGTCTTTAAGAACCACTCTTCAATTAAATTAAAAACATTTCTTGCAATACTGTAATTCAGAGCCTGGGGCTTAAGGGAGGATTTCTGAATGCCAAATAATCCATTTATTAAAAATAAAAAACCCCTACCCTTAGCGTATCACCTCCTATTCTGAGGTGAGAGACATATCAAACCTCTGCAGAACACAGCTATACTGACTACAAATGGGATTATTCACAGGAGCTTTCCATTTGTTAGTTTTCTGTAGAGCTTGAAGGTCACACATTAAAGAGGTCTACAATCTTCTTCAAAACACTGAAAGGGAGAATACATTACCTTTGCTGCTACTGTTTATGCAAGAAAACAATAAATGCCTTTCTTAAATGGCATAAATTGAGATGTACTGGTGCTTCACAAAGACACAAATCGCTTTTCTTATTTAAGCATTGTGGTGTTTGTTCCTGGATGAGATTTGTGCCACTCCACCACGACGGACAAGATTAACTCAACAGCTCTGAAGTGAGAAGGGCCAGATCTTGAGCACCCAGCACAGCTCATCTGGCCTGTTAAAGGATATTCACAGAGGGAAGTCAATCTATCACACTGTCCTGGGTTCAGCAGTAGCAGTCAATTTAATCCTTCTTAGTAGCTGGTGCAGTGCTGTACTTTTGACTTTCAGCCTGGGAACAGCACTGATAACACCTATGTTTTTAGTTGCTGCTCAGTAATGTTTACTCTGACCAAGGACTTTCCCAGTCTCATGCTCTGCCAGGGAGGAGGGGAAGCTGGAAGGAAGCAGAGACAGGACACCTGACCCAAATTGACCAAAGAGGTATTCCATACCATAGCACGTCATGCCCAGTATATAAGCTGGGGGCAGTTACCCAGAAGGGTTAGTTCACTGCTCTGTCAGGCTGGGTATCGGTCGGCGGGTGGTGAGCAGTTGTATTCTCTTCCCTTGTTATTTCCCTTATCATTACTATTATTGGTGGTAGCAGCAGTGGTTTGTGTTATACCTTAGTTATTGGACTGTTCTTATCTCAGCCCGTGGGAGTTACATTCTTTGGATTCTCCTCCCCATCCCTCCGGGAGCAGGGGGAAAGGGGAGAGAGTGAGACAGAGACTGCGTGGCTCTGATTTACAGCTGGGCTTAGGCCATGACACACATACATATCTTACTTCACCAATTCTGACCCAATGATCCCAGTCTCCAGAGACTGAGCATTGACATGGTCAATCCAGAAGAACTTTTGGTCCCTTCAAAGATCCCCCTCAAGACCCTGAGGCTTGGAGAAGTCACCACACACTTTCTCAATAAAACTGAAGCAAGGCAAGGTTGGCAGCCACATGTCCCCACCAAGCTCATGGAGGTGACATGGGCATCAGCTGTTTAGCTGGTTCCTGCGGACAACAGCTCCAAAGCTCTCATGGACGTGTGAGTGCTGCAAAACAAAGGTGATGTGCTCTCTTGTCTTCCTTCCTCAACCCTGGTCAGCGCCACTGATGTGCACTGTGTGCTGGTGGGCTCCCTGATCTCAGCAGGGACATGGTGAAGTGTGTTTAGGAGCAAAATGAACTCACCTCATTCTTGCCTCTGGTCTCTGCAGTAATTAGTTGTGGCCCAGAGGACCCCTGTGCCAAAATCATACATCTGAAGAGATCCTTTTATTTTGAATTAATATTCAGATTTTTTAATTGTCTCTTTTAGCCCATTTCAGTGACATCTCTCTTTTAAAGTGTCTTAATTAAATGCCAGATTTTCAGAATTTGAAGGTCAGCAGTGGAAGTGTGACAGGGCAGATGTACGGACTCTTACCCACCAGACACCAGGGGGGTTGTTGATCTTTTCTTTTTAAGAAAAGGAATTGATTTGTCTAGTCCCAAAAATGCCTGCTTGCACCAATTTTTTAATTCTCACTATCTAGAACATTTAGCTCAATGCAGAAATAATGCATATGAAGTACCTGTGACTAAAAAGCACGCCAATTCTGTGCGTTGAAAACATTAATGAGTGTTTCTTGCTTTCTACTTGCAGCAGGATTGAGTAACGTGCCATTAATATCTAGGTGGCAGGATCAGAGGTCTATGTGAAGACCACCTGCCCTGTAAGGAGAGAGGATGTCTGTCTCTGCTCTGTAAACCTATCTTTGTTTGATGGGGCTCTCAAAATGAGCATACTGAGTGCTGATCTTGCTTAGGACCTGCTTGCTGCTCAGCCAGAAACTACATTTCTGGAGAAGGCAGTTTTACTTCAAAAAGCCACCAATCACTCACATGACTCCCTGAAAGCAAGGGCTTGCAGGACCTGTCTGAAGTAGCAGATCCTGCCTACCCTGAAGGGCACTTTTCCCTTCCAATAGCCCAATAAAAACAACAGCGAAATCAGAGAGGAGAAAAGGGGATGAGTGTTATGGCTGCAAGAGGTTCATGGAACCAGGAGAGCTCAAGCCATGTGAGAGTAATTTAATGAGATTGCATTAGTAAGCACAGACACACACCAAATAGCTCAGGAATTTCTTTTCCAAAATAAGCTCCCATTACATGTCCATATCACTAACCACAAATCCTCCTCTGCTAGGGCAAGACCTGTCTTCCCCCTGGCACTGGCAGGCTTTATAACCTTGGACTGGTGACTAGTGCCATCTGCAATCCCGGTTTTACCTGCCTTAAGTACCTACTAGCGTTACAACTCCCTGTTTCTGCTGCATGCGAAGCAGTCACCCAGTTTGTGTCTCCTGGCTTGCGTAAACAGGATGCAGAGTAATTTTTTTCCCAGGACAAGCTGTAACTAATGCTCTATTTTTTTGTTACTGCTGACATTTTAGCATATTAGCTTTGTTCTGGACTATTACATCTTCAGATCTCAACTGTGGGAAAGAAAGGGTGGGTGGATGAAAAGCCATCTTGAAAAATCACAGACAAACTGAACGATAATGGGGGCAGCAGCACAGTTGAACTTTTCTTCTGCAGCAGTTGTGTTGCTTGTCTGGACAGTATGAAAGCAAAGCCCAAAAATGGCTTTGGGATAAGGATGTGCAGCCCGTGATAGTGACATATGTGTACACAAAGACCTCGGGTAGGTAATTTGAAATAGCCAGAAATTGTTCTCCCGGACCCAGCCTCTAAGAAAATACCTAACACTAGGAGAAAATTTGGTCTTAGCTGTCTAAACTAACCCTTGTTAGTCATAGGAAAGCTGCTGACTTCACAGGAGTTCCCCAAACTTAACACCTGTGTGGTCCCGTAGAGCAGGCTCCAAGCAGTGGGTCAGCTTTGCTTCTTGGCATCTTCATCAGCTATCACATAATGACATGGATTCTAAATACTAAATAAATCATGTCTTTCATAAGCATTTATTGCTCATTAGTTTGGACACTGAGCTAATGAATGACTCATTTTCCTTCTAAATCCCTAATGACCATTAATTACAGAATTTACCCAGCCTGATTAGAAATGGAAGTAAGAAATCAACTGTCAACTGTTTACAAATATATACAAAAATTCTATTTTTAAGACTGCAGGATGCTTTGTCAGGGACTTGCAATCACTCACCAAAGTGCTGTGCCTTAATTTCCAGTTGGAAAGCTTCAGAGCATTTCTCCTGGCAATTGTTAAGTGGTGGAATGATTGCTCCCCATTGACAAATGAGGAGCTGCCATGTCGCAGGTGGTAATGTGCTTTCATCTAAAGTAGCACAATGCAAGTCAGTGCTGCTTAGACATGTGTGTCACCTCTTAGTATTAACAAAGAAAAATACCACTCAAGGTTTCAAGTGTTTTGCTTATTAAGCACTTGACTGATTGCTTCAGACTGGCAAGTGACACGGTGAAAGGTATCAGGTGCTGATGCTTTCTGGTGTGCTAGAGCTGCCTAGCTTCCTCTTGGGCTAACAAATTAGTCAGTGGTACAGTGGGAAGATGAAGTTTTTGGTGGATTAAATATTTTAAATTATCTGTTATGTGTTCTTGTTGACCCAATACCATGCCACCCATTATAGATGGAGCAGCTCTTTCTCTTACTCTGAAAACAACAAAAAAAGATCTTGAGACACTAAAGTTTCCATAGGGCAGAAGGGTGTACTTTGTAGTCTGTGTACTTTGGAGTCTTGTGAGGAAGCATTTTCTTGTGTTTCGTTTGAATACTGGTGACTTTTGCACTTGTGTCCAGCAGCATGGTGAGTATTCCTCTGGTCACTAGATTCATCACCTTCAAGAAATCACAACTTCTACCTCATCTCCCTCAAAGTCATTTCTTTTACAAGAGGAAAAATCACAGTTTATGTAGTGTTTGGCACATGGACAATCCTGTATACCCTTGGTCATCTCTTACCCTTCCTATATCTCTCCTGATAGATGGTTAATGCTGTTGCCTTCATTGGAATTAGTACAAGATTGAAGTTGAGCTTGTAGGTAAGAATTTATTGGTTTCGTGTGTGGGTTTTAATTTCTTCAGAAGTCACACTTAGTTGTTTTCAGTGACACTGGGCTGGACAAGAAAAAGTGTTGGTTGCATCACCACATGTCCAGTGCACAGGCTACACCGCCTTTGTAAGGATGTGGTTATCTGGATCACTTGGTAGTTAGCAAGGTTTCAGTATTAGATGATTCAATAACCAACACATGCCTTTGAACTTCACAATACTAATTTAATTTATACCATGTAATTTACATATTCAAGTGCTGGCTGTATACATCTGCTGATGGGTAGAAATGAGACTTCATATTGCCAAAACAAAGCATTCAAAAATCATGTTAGGCCCCATCCTGTCTCCAGAAAACACATATAGACTGAATTTTCTTCTGTGAGGGATTTTTTAAATCTGTAATTTCTGAACCTGTGAAGTGTGCTGAGCTCATGTTTCCTGTTTTTTTTGATTAGCTGCTATCTTTGCCAGCATCTCAGCACCCCATTGTGACTCAGTCTATGATGAGGATTTTGCTGCAGCATCGTCCAGCCTGCCACTTCCCCAGTATCTGCCTCTGCCTTGCACACACTCTCCCATGGCATGCACAGGTGGACAGCATGGCAGTGGGCATTTTGTGATGTCTGAGGTGTGATTTTCACCAAAAAAACCCCAATCTAAAAACACCCTAAAAGTGCAAATGAAGCCAATTTTGTAACCTCCCCTGTTTAATGCCAGTGGCGAATGGGGCAATGCTCAAGATCTCAGTTTCTTTAACAGAATGGAAAAAAACATTTCCCAACTAGTCCTGCCTAATTACAGCCCCATTAATGAGAGAACTGAGTGTACTGAGCCACTGGCAAATGAAGCTGCCACAATGGAAAAACTGGGAAAGGCTGTGGATTTCATGGCCTGTACCACTGCCAGGCTGGATCACCTATGGTAGGTCTCGTGGGGAACTAGTCCAGATATCACAAGCGCGCATTTACAAACATGCCTGATAGTGTATTTCTGCTTTTCCAGGGGTGTGATAACTGACAGTATGTTATGGCACCTCCAGCCATCCCCTGTCCAGCGCTCATCCCCAGGGCTTCACTCACTCCCTGTTTTGCCATCAAGCACAGCCTGGCCTATACTGGCAGATCTCTGCTCTTGCAGCAGATTGCCAGCAACTCTAAACTGACAAGCCAGAACAAAGAAATCATCATCAAGCTGGCCTAAAAGAAAATAATCATTGGGTTAGGTGTTTCAAAGTAACACCACAGACTAGAAAATCCCCTGGACTCGTTGCTCTGAGTTTGTAATTCTTTGGCAAGAGGTGCCAAATTAAGGTGCAATACGCAAGCTGGGGTGTATACAAAACACGTACATGATTAAAGCAGGCTGGATATTCCTGGCCCACCCTGGCTTGACTGGCTGCCCCAGTACCCTACCATGTCCCATGCTTCAGTGGATACTGCAGCTAGAAGACCCCTGAATATTTTTGTTTTAAATTGGTGTGTAAGCAGGAGGAAAGGTTTGGGGCAGGGGGTTGGCTTTTAATTGGTTAATGATTTCATTGATTGCCTTTCTTTATCTTCCCCCTACTGCACAGCCATCGCCCATCCTCCCAGGCACACATGAGTCCAACCAGAAAAGACAGGTAAGAGCAAACACCAGCACTGAAGGTGGGTGGCTGACAGCAGAGCTGAGGGGTAGTGGCTGGGAAGAGCTGCACCTTCATCACCACTGGGAGGACAACAAGGAGCCAGAAAGTTTCATCATGTCCAAACGAAAAGAGCAGAGTAATGAAAGACTGCTCAGACAGTGCTGTGGGGTGCCAAGGGTAATAAATCAACCGGAAGGCAAGTCAAAACAAATAGGAGCAAAACCCTATTTTTGTGCTGAATTTCAAGCTTGCTTTGTTTAAGTTTGGAAGCATTTGGTGAGGGCAAGTCTTTATTTTTATACAAAGTGCTTGCAATGTAATCCCATTTTCTCTCCAGACTTTCTGTTTACATCAAGAATTTATTTTATTTTTTTTTAGTTCAAGAAGGATTTTGTAAATAGTACATCTGCAAGAATAATATTTTAAATAGGATTGGGGTTTTTAAAGTAAAAACTCACGTTTATTTAAATGCACAATTTAAAAAAAAATGACCAAGATCCCCTTAGCAGAAACCCTGGCCACAGTGTAATGAAGAGGATTTTTGTTCTCAGTTACAATGAGGACCAAGATTAATCACAAGATGACTTTGAGGAACAGCTGGATTTTTGTCTAGAAGGGAGGGAGCTTAAAAATAACATTGGCACAAAGATGAAAAAAAAGACTTAGCCATTATGTTTGGCTAATTAGCTAATTATCCTGGCCTTGCAGTTCTCTCTGCACAAAAGGAAAGCAATCTTAAATGAGCATCAAACTCCTGCAGATTTCCAAAGCATATTTTTGGAAATCATGTTTTGCTCTCTGATTTCTTCCCTGGATTTTCCTTCTTTCTTAAATCATATTCCATTCAGAGATGCGCTACCAGTGCCTGGGATTTTATGTACGCAGAGTACCATTTTAAACCCAACTGCTGCCCTCGGGACTTTGCTCCATTGCACTCTTTGCAGAAAGGAAGCCAGCCCCACGCATAAACTTAGATGTAAGTCAGGTGAGAGCAAATCATTTCCCCTCTGAAGCCCTCAGGCTCAGAGCAACCTGCGGGCAAAAGCAAAGCAGTAAGCAATACCCTGGGAGCAGCAATTAGGTCAGTTTAATTTGATTTGCTTCAATATTGACAACAGCATACTGGCCAGTGCTCCAGTCTTGCCTGCAGTGCCCCAGCAGCAGGGTGCAGTGCTCAGCAGTGGGTGCCAGGGCATCACTATGTTGGGACATGTGCCAAGCTGGCACAGAGGACAGCGACACCCTGAACTAGGAGGATCAAGAAGGGGTGGGAAGGTGCAGTATGGTCATGTGAGGCAGCCCTTTGTCCCAGCCATGTCCTTGCAGAAGACGCGGTAAGATGAAGTTTTCCTAGCATTGTCCTGCACCGGTTGTCCCTACAGATGTCTGTCCTCGCACAGTTATGGGGAGAAATGTTGAGACAGCCTGTTTCTTCTACCACCAGCATGCAAAGCATCCAAGAGAAGAATGGCAGCTCCCTGGTCTGAAGGTTTTTTACTTTAGTTTTGCTGCCTTTTCCTTCCAGCTGTGAGCCCCTTCAGATTCCCATGTCCTCCTCTACCAGGACTGCTATTTTTGTATGCCATTGCATGAAATGTCAGCAGGTATCTCTGTGTATTTCCTAGGTATATTTTGAGGATTTCAGAGCTTGCAGCCTTCCTTGGCAAGAACCCTGTAGTTTTAACAATGCTCTTCCCAACCTCCTCCACTGAGAGTTGCATGGATTAGTGTGGCACGTCAAAATGAATATATAATGCAAACACCTTCAACCCACAGCCATAAGATCAAATTTGGCTCACCTGGTAGAAGTGAGCTTGATAGGCATGATGCTTGGTTGGCTGTAATAACTACTGGTAAAGTGATCTCACAGGAGCAAAATTCTGCAGCAGGCTACAATACTACCACCACCAACTTGCCAAAGGTATATCTAAAGTGGGCAGGAAAAAACAGAGTGTGTCCAAGCAGCAAGGTTTGGCTCTTGTGAGCATGTCAACCACATGAAGCTGGTGAGAAGAGGCACCCTGTCACCCAAGCTGCAGCGTCTGAAGTGGGAAACATCTCTGCCCATTCCCAGCAGGAAGGAGAGCAGACAGGAGCAGTAGTTTCTCTTCCCTGAACCACTAAGCCCCTGGTCTTTTCATCAGTTTGCATTCTTCCAGTCAACCACACCGATAAATCTATACCTACCTATTTTATGAGGCTACTTCCTCACATCTAACTCACTGTACACATGAACAAAGGTTTGTAACATTTCCATAAAGCCACCATTTGCTGGTGTCCAGAAAAAAAAGATTTCGTTCAGCGTAAGAGGGACATGGATCTGTTTGAGTCCAGAAGAGGCTACAAAGATGACCAGAGAGCTGAGGGGCCTTTCCTATGGAGACAGGTTGAGAGAGTTGGGGTTGTTCAGCCTGGAGAAGGCTCCAGTGTGACGTTAAAGCAGCATCCAGTGCCTAAAGGTGAGGGACTTTTTACAAGGACATGTAGTGATAGGATAAGGGGGAATAGACTTAAATTGGAAGAGGGAAGATTTAGATTACAGGAAGAAGTTCTTCCCTGAGAAGGAGGTGAGGCACTGGCACAGGTTGCCCTGAGGAGCTGTGGCTGCCCCATCCCTGGCAGTGCTCAAGACCAGGCTGGATGAGGCTTTAAGCAACCTGGTCTAGTGGAAGGTGTCCCTGCGTGTGGCAGGGGGTTGGAACTAGGTGATATTTAGCGTTCCTTCCAACCCAAACCGTTCTATGATTCTACGATTCTATGATTCCCTGCAGCATTTCAGTTTTCAGTGATGTGCTTGTAACCTCTTTAAACTTGTATTTTCCTGTAATGCCTCTTAGAAATGCTCTCCAGAATGGGTTTTCTCACTCCGATTTCTCACTGGACTTCTGCTTCCAGCATCCTTCTTTAAAATCCTGTCTCAGGGGTCTGACTTGTGTGTGGTGTGCCGTACCCAGGAGCACTTCACTAATCGCTGTATCACCTACAGACCTGGTAGCACACCACACCATTTCAACACCACTGGCTTGGGTGCAAATAAAATTTTGTAAGCGTTTTGTGAGTCTGACAGCACATTGCTGAAGTGGGAAGGAGATGGGCAATTCATCAGCTGCAGAAGGTCTCTAAGCTGTAAAACACTGCTCTTTCCACATTAGGTACGTACAATTATGTCAGCATGCAAGTCTTGTTTTGAGAGATTTGTCACCCCACTGTCAGTGTGTGACCCCAACTATTTGTTGTTGAACTACTGAGTCTTTTCTAGAAATTATCCCTGGTGGATATCCAAAGCTTGCCAAGCCTTTGCACGTTGCTGCCAGGTGTAAGCAGATTTGACTGTTACTGTGTGAAACATGATACTAATAATTAATAGGCAATTTATTTGATGCTGTCAGCTTCATGATTATCCACTTCAGAGACATGGCCTAAGAAAGTGTAAATAAAATATGTGGGCCAGATCCTCATCTCCGTGAAAATCTCCCTTGCACCAATGGAGGTAATAAGGTAGACTTACAATCTGACACTTAATTCACCTGAAAGACCAATATCAGCCAGCAGGAAAGAAACACTTAATTGAAAACAGGAGGTGTGCCATAAAACATTTGGTGTATAAGGTGGAAGTGGAGTGTAGAGGCAAAAGAGCCTGGGAATGATAAAGTATTAAGCTTAATTTCCCACCCATCTTGAAGACTGACTCACTCTTTGGTAGCCCTTAACATAAGAGCAAGTCTGTACTTGAGTGACTTTTGGCGTATGTTGTGTTGGGTTTTTTTAATCATAGAATCATAGAATAATAGTTAGAGTTGGAAAGGACCTTAAGATCATCTTGTTCCAGCCCTCCTGCCGTGGGCAGGGACACCTCGCACTAAACCATGTCACCCAAGGCTCTGTCCAGAGTTTTCCACCAAGGACTGCAAAACATTTGGGTCCCTTGGACAAATGCATACTTGGAGGTACCTCAGAGCAGGAGTTCTGGTGTCCTGCTTTTACCCAAAGTCACCCATTGGCAAAAACCAGTCAAAATTAGCAACCACCCTCAGCAACAATGAACTTTGTAATGGGTCCAGGAGTCAGAAAAGGCATAACACTCCTGAAATCTGTCCATCTCCTCTCCTCTCACTCTGTACCTTCTTACACAGACAGCTACTCTCAAAGCCATCACATCCAAGCTTGCACCAGTCTTGCTGAATGAAGGAAGGAGCACTCCCTGGCACTCCGCTCTGACTCTGGCCATTACAAGGGCTGCTTTGCCATCATGTACCTGCAGCAGTGTAGGAAGGTGACCTTATGGACAAACTAGGAGTTCAGCTCTCTTTTCTATACCGATTGCTGTTAGTTCATTATGTCATGGCCTGACACATTCTGCTTGTAAATCTCTTTGCAGAGTAACTTTCGTGGTGCTCCATCAGAGCACCAGCTTTCAGGGTGATTTTTTTTTTCTGAGCTTCCCTTGTTTGCACTGCTGGTGACAAAGGCTGGCGCATTGCATAAAGACAATTTCATACCTGTTTATTATGGGGAAGGACACATGCATCTGTAACTGATTTGACAGGAGACAGCATGACAGCTGTTTTACAGGATTCTCCATTGAAATAGCAAATGAGAGGCTTGCTGGCATGTATGGGACATATTTATATCCTAAACAAAAGGGCAATAACATACATAGTGACAAGCCTTGTTTGTACACAGCTTTCAGCAAGTCTGTGCCAAGTGCTGGCTCCCATCCAGGC